CACGATACCCCCTGGAGTCAACTCCAATGCCGCCCAAGTCCCAGGAGTCTCGAAAGAGAACTGAAGAGAGAGTTCCTCTTCTTCCCTGACAGGTTCGACGACCTCTTCGTCCCCGTAAGGAGCACTGTGAAAATCTTCCGTCATGGCACAGACGGGAGTGGCCTGAAATCCCGTCGAGAGGGATGATCCAAGTGATGCGCCTCAAGCCTTCTGTGAACCACTCGTTCCGGTCCACTCTTCTGGTGTCTCTGATGTTTTCTACCACTCCTGTGAGTTTTGTCCTTCTTCTTTTTCTTATGCCGAAGGTCACGCTCACTGTGGTAACCACCCCTCGGGGTGGCCAATGGGGAAGGTGCCTTAGACGAGATACCAGCGGCAGGATTGCTCCGCTGTTTGGGATCGACAACCTCCTCTTCCGAGGTGTATGTATACTCGTCTTCCTCTTTGATTGGTCGGTGCCGCTTAGCCCTAGGATTAACCTCCTCTTCTTTCCTGGCACGAGTAGCAGCTAGCACAGCCACCCCGGAAGTGGCAGGTGCAGCAGCTGACTCAGCCCGGAGAGGGGGAGGATTAACCGGTCCAGCGACAACCCGGGGAGTCGACCCAGCTGGTACACTCAACAAATTAGCAGGCTCCTCACCGGCCAAGAGGGTCGGGCCCAAGGCGCCCAAAGCCCTTACCTGCCTGACTGCACTAAGCAGGATTTCCTCCGCTAGGGCGCGGGCTCCTTGATTTGACCACCTCCTTCCAAGTTCCAGCTGAGCCGACTCCAAGGCACGGCAACCCCAACACCAGCTATCACCAGAGGCTCGAAGTCCTGTCCTGCACTTGTTGCAGGCCAGCATAGGCTTTTGAGCCCAATTAACTCCCGCAGATAGAAAGCGTCCTTGCACTCCCCTTTCGCACTAAACATCGTTACGAATGTCATTGAAGGCCACATCCCCAACCCTTCTTGTCGTTGTTGCACCAACTCTTGCAGTAATCTGGCTCTGCGTAGACTGAGCATGGAGTCGGGGGCAAGGGCGCAGCGGTAGCCTGCTCGCCACAAGCGTCGCAAAAATCAACCTCGTTCCCACAATCGCCCTTGTACTTTCCGCTCTTGAACTGGTTGCGCCCATGGCAGCCGCTGGACTTGCTATGCCATTTGCAACCGTGATCCCCAATTTGCTGGCCATAGATCATCATCTTTCCATCATCCGAGTTCACAAACCTCTTGTCTGGAAGCCGATGGATGTAGAACCCCCGGCCACACTTGATGGTGGTGTACTCCCGGATGCCGTGGCGCCAAACCTGCTTCTTCAGCAAACTTCCAAGACTCTCGTGGCCTTTCTTCTTTTTCGCGTCGTAGCCCGTGAAGATTTTCGTAAGGCGGTTGAGCTCATCCATCAAGCGAGAGTCTGGCATCCAAAGCTCACTCATATCATCGTCAGACTCCCAGCCGCAAAGCCACGCAGAGTATGTTCTGAATAGTCTTCGAAGCTCTTCATTCTGGCCCACTCTCGCATTTTTTGACAGTTTTTTGTGGGGCCTGGTTGCGTGTCACCATGGTCGACGCAGTAGTCGTCACATGTTCTCTTGTACGGTTCGTAGAAAATGTCTCCTCCTCCAAATTTTGGCGTGATCTTTTTTGACTGTGCATCTTTGCATGGTCCCCCACCCACTTTTGCGGACGAGCCGTTGTGCTTGTTGCTGTCCATGATGGCTTGTGTCGACTGCCTTGAGCTGGAACCGGCCTCTTCCTCAAGACTGACCTTGACATCTGTTTCCCAAAGAATTGGCCCGGAAGCTTTAGCCCTTGACAGGAAACAAGCAGCTGGGTTGCATTTGGGCTTGCCCTCCCATGTCACCTGACATGTGTGCATCTCCCCATACTGATCGTGCCCTGACATACTGCCCGTGGCATGCGCATGGTCCACCCGCTGCATGGGTGCATTCAGGCACATGTGGCCATTCTCGGCGCAAACACGGTAGGCCACAGGCATGAGGGCCTTGTATGTTTGCCACTGCACAGTGCTGTCCATGAGTTCGAAGGGGAACGAAGGAGCAATTTTCTGGTTCTTCTTGATGCAGAAGCCGTCGTAGCCCAAGATCTCGCCCATGACATCAGTATACTGGGCATCGAGCGCACCTTCCAGGCTCACGTGGTTCTCCTGCATGAGTTTTCGAGCCCACGATGAGCCCACTACTTTGGCCATGTTGCTCTTTATCTTCACAGCCACTTTGTCGTAGACGTCACGGTAGTATGCTTTGATAGATGCTGTTTTGTACTGCACTGCTGCCGAGGTCTCCCACAGGGCACTGTTTGGCTGAGGCACCCAGCCGCCCAATTCTTTTTAGAATTCACTGTTCGCCTTGATGGTGGGCACGATGACCTTCTCCACCAGGCGAATCAAGGCAGCTATTCCATCAAGCGCTTTGCCCTTGTACTCGCCCTTGAAGAAATTGAAAGAGGCAGAGGCAGAGTGAGTGAAGCTCACGATAGCCTCCATGAAAATCTGGGCCAGGGCAGCCGAAAAGCTTCCTTGGGCTTCAGGCGGCTTGCTCATTTGCGACTTTCCGTACATGACTTTGCCATAGGCTGTCTCGATACTGACATCAAGTGCCACGCGCTGCTGGTACTTCAAGAGGTTTGTCGCACGGACAAGAGCAGCCAAGTAGAACTTGACGGAATTAGTATACGCACGTGAAAGACTTTGTAGGACTGGCTTGAGGGCCCGGTAGCAAGGACTTTTGACGATTTTGCGGTCATATTCTTTGGGGCAACACGTCTTGCAGGCCTTGCAACCGCCGATTTGCCGCACAGCTTTACAACTGGGCAATTTGGCAGTGACATAGTCTGTTTGGCATTGACAAATCTCCATATCCGAAGAGCCCCAGCCATCAGCTCCGGGATTGGCAGCAATCGCCTGCCACCTCGTGATGCCGAGGCCGAAGCCTTTGTCGACCACATCATAGGCCATCTTGCATACAGCCTTGTCCTCGATGTCTTGACAGAAAGCTTCATGGGGCTCAGCATCTGGCTTGGCCGTTGTCATGATTTCATCCAGGTCATGCGTGGGCTTTTGCAGTTTCTCCAAACCATCCGCCAGACACGGTGCCACAATCACATTGTTGCCATTCATATGCATGCCTCCAGTTGGGCATGGTGGCGTCTGGTCACCGACTGTCTGGTGGGACTTCGGGTTCAACAACTGACTTCGCTGCACAAGCTGAGATAGCAAAGATGACTCACGAGAAGATCTGAGCTGCATCAAGTCAGCCATGTCCCCCCCAGTGCAGGAGTCATCGAAAACACACAAGGCATTGGACCCATTGCTCAAGCTCCCGAGGGCACACAGCAAGAAGGCCCCGAATAGAGTCCACTTCATGGAGGCATCTAAAGCCAGAGCTTGAGAACTGCCTCTTTGAGACGGGCAAACAACTCTGTGTTCAACGATTTGGCCGAGGCCACCACACATGCATCGAGTGCTGCGTTGTAGCTGAAGAAACGATAAATGCTTTTTCGCGCAAGCAACGTGCATGATGCAAAATCAAGCAAGCAAGACCACATTCAAGCAAAAGTCAAGGCCCCGCTGCATTCAAGAGCTGCAGCACTTCTCGCCAGCGCGCGGCTCGCGCGGAGGTGCTGACGTCGTTAACCTCCAGGGCAAACGGGCTGACGGCTCCTAACTTGCCTAGCTCGAGACGTCGCCATGCCGAGACAGAATGGGCTGACTCACTGCATTGCGGCCCGAAAGTATCTTAGGCACTGCTTGGCCGTAAGCTGGCTTGAAGATGAATCCATGTATGGGAAACCAACACGCCCTGAGCCCACCATGAAGCGATTCAACTCGAATAACAGCTTGAAATAGAGTGTGATGCATGAGACTCTGTGTGCATACAAAAGAACAAAGTTCGGTTGGATGGCTCCTTCAGCACAACTCTCCTGTCAAAGCCGCTAGCCCAATCTGCGCACTGTCAGGTAGCAATGATGTGCCAGCAGTGATAATGTTGATGGCGATCTTGTGCCTCAGCGTCAGAGTTGTCAAAAGCACTGCAAGCACGATTTCAATCACGATTTCAACGGTCACCCATGAGGTTCATGTCGGCGAATAGCTATAATGCATTCTCACACTGCAATGGCTCGGAGTTGTTTGCCAAGAGTGGTTTTGCTTTTGCAGCTGATCCTATCGTCTGAGTCGAGGGCTTTCGCCACTTGAACTCATCGCCTCAGCACAAGCAACTGTTGCAGTCAGCCATCCCATCTCAGCACAGCTGCATGCGTCATTAATAAATCACATGGGCCAGATGCAGCACGGGTACCAGAGTCTAATAGAGATAACGTCCAGCCCAGGGACGATTGCCGCATCTCCTTACGTGGGCGTCGGTTTTGCATGATGTCTCTCTGCCTGCTTGCCTGCTTGCCTGTACGGATGGATGGATGCCTGTGGATGGGCATACGATATCATACGATCATAATCGAGATGTGCACCTGCAAGGACCAGCACTGGGCGAGGCGAGCGCGGCTCGGCGCGGGAGCCGCAAGCCGTGAGGGCCGCAGGGCAGCGCCCAGCGGTGCCAAGGGCGTGTTTCTTGTCAGGGATTCTTGCCATGGTGGTGCTGTCTAGCACTAGATACCCCACTGGACCGGGATCTCGTTGTCAACATTCCATTGGAGGCTGTGTTCGGAAAGGCAGATTCCTGGCTCTGCAGATTCGGCAAAGACATTGCCCCTCTCAAAAGAAGATGCTCCTGCGGAACCATTTGACACACGTTCAAATCTGCAAATCTGCCTGTCTCCTTCGTGCTCGCATTGAAAGCCACGCGCAGCAAATGTCAAGGAACACATTTTCACAAGCCTGCATCCAATGCTCCTAGACGCTGCCCAAGCAGCTATGCAGCGCAGTGCGCACTCCCGAGCACTTTGCACAATTGGAAGGACATCTAACCGGCAAACCTGGGGCGGATCTAGTTCTTCTTGTACTGCAAGTCTCATACCTGTTGTCCGCACCTCGTGATACACTTCCATGGAAAAGACACCCTTCATGCACCTTTTCGGCTGTGCAGGTGAATTTGGAAAAGGGGTGCCACACAACTGCGCAGCGAATTTAATGGCTTTTTGGGAGATCTCAAAAGGACAACCCTGTTGAAGAGACTGCCCCTCAGACCTCATTTCTCTGGTGCCTTCGGCTACGACCTCTGTGCATGTGCCACTCCACCTCAGTTGGATGTTTCGGCGCATTCTTCGGGGATGCATGCGGGGGGGAGGGAAGGAGGATGGCACCAATGACTTGCAAAAAATGCTGAAAACATGCAATGCAAGCAACTGATTCAAAAACACGCTAGAGTGGTGAGGAAGGAGTTGACTATCATCGTAGCAAATTTTCACCCGGACGTCCAAAACCCCGTTCTTTGGCCGTCGCCATGAGCCGGGCTTTGCCAGATGCCTGGCTCCCATGAGCCAAGGCTGGCGGTGATTTTCCCCCCATGATCCAAGCACTTTTGTATGACACGTAGAAGTTGCAGTCCCGGGAACGGAGACAAAGTGTATGCCCGAACTGCATGGGTCAGTCTTCGCGCATCTCCTTGCTTGATGCAGAATGGCGAATCATGCATGCACCACCTGCATAGTACGAAACGCGGCTCCCATCGGCAGCTCTCATCTGGGCATTTACCGGATCCATGTAAGTGCCAACACTCTTGGTGGCAGGTTCCTGAACTTGCTGACGCTAGTCAGAAAGTGAAGGAACCCGCCACCATTCGCTGTCGACACTGCCAGCATGTTGTTGTACGCTGAGATGAAGTAGGCAACATACGCGTCAGCCCCTCTGAGCGTTTTGAACGGTTGGTCAACACATGATTCTAGTGCAGCATCCAACCCATAAACTCAGCCCAACGAGCTTCCGCATCGAATGGCCCGTGGCACTTGCAGGGTTGTCAATTGCTGTGAGACCACGGAATCCTCCCAAGGCCTCGTCAGTCGGTCGTTTCATATCGAATGCCGCAGGTCCGCGTCGCGGCCGCATTTCCCTGTGTTCGCTTCATGATGAACTGGCCAACAGCCATATAGACGTGGCCGTCCATCTCAGCCAATGCGAGCGGTTTAGGTGGAAGTGGATCACTATCAAGCTCAACTCCTGGATCGAAACTCACGTGGACGGGGCTTGTGGGATCATAGCCCCGAACGACGCCTTCCTTGCCTGTCGGAATTATGAGGTGCTATGAAGACCTTGCCCCCCACCAGCGTTGCTCAGTACCCACTGCTGCGCCGAGCCAGTGACCTGCGAGAAGGTTATAGGCCATAGGCCGTTGGGTACACGATCAAGTGCGCGGTCATCGTCCAACTGCGATGCCTGCTGATGAAGACCTTGCCATCCCCAGCGTCGCTCAGTGTCCACTTCTCCCCGTGCCTTCGTTCACGGATGTCCCGAGGCGGCCATGGTCTTGCAAGTGGCGGCCACGATGGCTGGTGAAGACGGTGCCCCGCATCTCCCACGGTTTGACCGCTAGTTTGCTGCAGGTGCGCCACTTCCGAAACGATGGCATTGGTCAGAGCTGTTTGGTCTGCCGCTGAAATTGCGGATACGTGGTATCCGAGGCCTTTGCTTCGGCTACATGGCCGAGTGGTTTAACCATGGTGCCATCAGTGTGCACGTCCTCAACATTCTGAAGTCGTCGGCCACGGAGCTGGGACAGGTGACATTGGCGTCCACACATGCCACCGGGACATGGAAGGTATTGGCAATGCCCGTCGCAAAAGCTCGAGCTCAGTGCTGGCGGTGTCGGAGTCGCAGCATGATTCTTGCACAAAACATCTGGCAAAGCAAAGCCACGGGCAAAAGTCCATGCCACATCATGCCAAAAAAACAAGCAACAAGGGGAAATCGTGCCGTGCGACGCAAAAAGGCAAGCGTAAACACATGCCTGGCAGCAGACAGCTGCTTTCAAATTATCACTTTTTATCACTTTTCACGCTGCTCTGGAAACTTTTCCGCTGTTGTCCTGTATGTTATAGTCGTATGTGGTCCAGAGGACGAGAGGGAGAGGCAGAGAGGATCACAGAGAGCCAGCAGTCCAGTTCACAAAGCGAAACTCACAGCAGCGCTTGGAAGCCTTTTTCATGCGACCTGGAGGTTTCTCCCCCTGAAGCTCTGACCCTGCTTTGAGCAGGTCGGGCTCTCAGGGTCGGTGATTCAGCTCTCCTGGACGCACCTTGGAAGCCCAAAGCGCGCCATGCCCGGCAGATCCCGCGGTGTTAAGGGACAGGCTCGGCGCGGAAGCCGCTCTCTGAGAGGCGACGCACTGCGACCGCGGCGGTCCTGCGGGCAGGCCTTTTGGAGGCCTAGAAGGCACAGCCTCTCTTGCTTCCTGCGCAGAACCGCCCTTGTTCGCAGAAGGGCCCAGGGGCCCGGTCGCCACTGTTGCCGGCCTGCGGCACTTCGAAAGCTTCCCTTTGTGGAGCAGATGCTGAGACGAGGACTCGACCTGCTCAGTGTCGGGTTGGATGCAGCCTGGGCTATGGCGAAGCAACTCTTGCGGCCATTCAGCATCTTGACTTGTGCAGGATGCTAAGGACGCTGCCCGGTGCATGACGGGATCCTTCGGGGGCCTCGCTTTTAAGATCCATATAGACTATAGCCCTGTCATGGAAGGCTGGGATAATGCCCGCTCAGGCTCCTGCGAGCTGAAGTACACTCGAAGAGAAGCCGGCCTACAGCAATCCGGAATGCATAGCAGAGATCTCGAGGGCCGGTTCTTTCAGCTTACCGTAGGCCTTGAAGCATTGGCGCAGAAGCCTCGGTACTTCGCGTCAGCACAGGAGCAACTGGAGTGAAAGGCGCTAAACCAAGCGAAGTGCCCGAGAAGATGCTGGAATCCCACTCGGCTTTTCGGATCGGATTCTTCTTCCGCGCCTCACGGACGAAACCAGGACGCGTGGAGTCCATGGTCAGTCATGGGCCCCCTGCAGCGGCTGTGGCCAGCGTCTTGGTCTTCACGGCATCTTTGGCCGTGCCTACACGGCCAAAGACGGCACAAAGCATGGCAAAAACGCCGAGGGCCTGGGGCACGTCGGAACTGCTTCAGACCGAAAAGGGCCTGAGACTCGTTTCAGAAGCACACAGCCTTCCACGCGGCCCAACAGGCCCAACTCAGGAGCCGGACGCAGCAGACATGTTCTACGGAGATCTGACTGGCGGCACCTTGAATACCAAAGCGTCTCGGTGCACTCTTCGAGTCATTGGGACTTGGGGGGCCGAACATCCCCAGCGTAGCAACAGTTGCTGAGCTACTAGGCCAAGACAACCGAGACCAGCCACACGGTTCAAGACCCCTGTCAAGCTCCCAGCCCCTTGGCCAAACGAGACCAAACCGGCCACTTAGCTCTAGTTACTTGCCGAGTGCAACAAGAAATCACTCCAGAGGCTCAGACCGTTCCCACGACATCTCGCCACCTGTCAAGCAATAATGTGCCGGAGCCCCTTGTTGGAGAGCTGAGAAGCACGCCTCGCCTCCGCCGCGATCTCGGCGGGCTCCCCAGGAAAGCCCAGCACCTGCCAGAATGTCTTTCCTTTCAGGGAGCGAGTGAAGAAAGAGAGAGCAGGAGCCTCGAGGCGTCGAGCGAACTCGGAGGCCTCGATGGGCTCCAGGACCTGCTCTCCGCGCTCTTCGAAGGAACCGCGCCGGGGGGCTCGGCAACCGCGCGACCTGGGCCCACCCTCCGGCGTGGTCGCCGATCATCTTCAGCCTCTTCCCCCACAAAAAAACAAAAACAACAAAAGCCACTCTCTCCAGAGCCATCCCGCGCTGGTCGCCTTAAAAGGAGGTCGATGCTGTCGGCGCAGACCTCGATCCACCGTTCGGGAGACTTGAAACCGTGAAAGGAAAAACCGGCAGAGCACCTCGGCCGCCCAGCTGCGCAGCATCCGCAACTCGATGCTCATGCCCTACATCACCACTCAGCAGACGACCCAAAAAGCCAAAAAACCACAGAAGTCAGGAAACACTGCAGCAACACAGGGAGCCTGCGCGGAACACCTGGGAAAGGCTGGACTGCTTCACAGGAGGCCGAGGGCCAACAGAAAGCTCACCACCAAGGCCGGAACGAGGAGACCTGCTGGAGATACTCGAAATCCGTCCGGCTTAAACGCCCCAGGCCCTGATGATCCAAGCCTGATCACAGCTCGCGAGAAAAGGCCCTTCTTCCTGCGAGTCGAAGGGCGGTTTAGGAAGTCTCTTTTGCACCAGGCTGGCCCCCGGACAGGTGCCCTCGAGCCGCTTTGTACAGGGCCCACGGGTCTTCCGCAGGCTGGCGCTCGGGGTCGCTGGGTTTAGGCATCAAGGAAATCCGCCCAGACAGAGGTCACAGGAAAAACGCCCATCTCGGCCTCAATGTCGCAATTCTGAGCCTCCTGCCTACGGCCCTCCACTGATCCTACCTGCTACAAGTACCAGAGTAACCCATGAGGGGTGTTGCAGGCTGCGAACACTTCTCATTCATGGCGTTTCTTGAGTGTAGCTGTGTAGGAATGCAGATCGGTGATACCTGAAACCCCCACCATACCGAAGAATCGGGAGGGTAGCTGTGTAGCTTATGGGCATTTGCCCCGCACACCGATTCTCGATGCTCCAACTCTGCTGTGTGGGACCTAGACATGAAAACAGAGGAAAGCTGAGAACTCGACGAAGATGCCCATGACGTGGCTGGGGGAGGTCACGAGGCCTGCGGTGACCTTCTCCAAGCGCTCTCGGCTGAAGTAGAGGCCCTCGGCGTGAAGGCCCTTGGCAACCTGCTCCTCGAAGGCCGAGAGGCAGAGGCGGCGCTGTTCCTCCGTCAAAATCTGCATTCCCAGGGCCTGGGACAAGGCCTCTTGCAGGTTCGGCCACGGGAGGCGAACACCAAAGTTGGCATGGGTCTTCAGCAGGCAGAAGAGCCGCAACTCGGCGCTGAGACCCTCCAGGGCCACCTCCGCACCAACAAAGCGCTCAAAGCCCTCTGAAGAGCATATAGGCAGCACCGCAGTTTTTGTTTAAACGAAAGCAAGAAGGAGAGTGGAGAAAAGTGGCGGGTCTCGTGCAGGGAGGCATGTGAAAGCGCCTGCAAAGGAAGAGAAAGAGACGAGACAAGAAAAAGGCGCCTCGAAAGCTGGGCCCGCTGTGCCGTCTGAGATGAGCTGCCAAGTGAAGAACTCTTGTTGATAGCGGTAGACATGGAAGCCGCTACTCAGCTTTCGGCCATCTTCGAGCTCCGTCAGAAGCCTCACCCTCGCCAACCAGGCTGGGAGACGGTGTGCGATCGGGATGGCCGGGATGCAGAAGATCTCCCACTTCTTCAAGGCCACTCGGGAGCTGAACTTCAGCCGGCTTCTGTCGAAGTCGTGCAAGACGACGGCTTTCAGCTGCTGCACATTCATGCCTACCACCGGCGCCTCGACGGCCGAGTGCGGTGAAGCAAAGAGTCCGGACAGTAAACCCATGCGGGTCTTTGACGAAGAGACTTGAGAAGAGAGCGAGCGAGAGAGAGAGAGAGAGAGGTGTCTATAGATATGTGTATGTCTATACAGCATGCGTGTATGCAACCGGGTCTCCGTCCACTTGTTGGCGAAGCTGTGTGCGACCACCGCATCCCGCTGGTAGCCGGACTGACCCCAGAGCTCACGACTGAACTGCGCAAGGTGCTGAAGGATGCGTACCAGCACCTGGCATCAGGGTCTCCATGCTAGCCAGAGGAAGGTTCAAGGCTTCCGACTCCTCTGGTCCCGCCATGTCCCGCCTGTTTGTCAGACTCTGATAGCTGTCCACGCTTCTCGATCCTGAGGCTTTTGGAGTCCAGGCTCAGGATCGTTCGGGACGCCAACAAGATTCATTTAAGCATCTAGAAAAGCGCAACAAAATCTGCACCTAGCATCTCAGACAACTTGAAGACGCACTGGAGCTGCTTGGCCACCTGTGCGGGCTCCCTTCCGGCTTGCCTCGTGCCCCTTGAAACATCGAAACTCCAGTCCGGATACTTTAAACTTTAAACGAAGTCTTACATCTGCTTCAAGAAACGCAATCAAGTTGCACTACGAAGGGTCTTCGCCAGCACATCAGAGGGCAGGGAAGACGACATAAGGGCATCTCGCTGCCATGTTATGAACCTGGCGAAGGTGAGCCGCCTGTCCTGGCAACACTGCAACGGCAGCCAGTCACTAAACGCCATAAACGCCATGCAGCCCCACAACGCACCACCTCAGGATCCGACACCTTCGGAGCCAATCATCGTGAGGTAGCAATGGTGCAAGTCACCCTTGATCATGGCAGGGTCTGTATCGCCTCCCAATGATGGATTGAGGCGAAGAGCATTCTGCAGAACTCCATGAGTTTCCATAAACTCCTCCCAGTTGATGATGCCGTCACGATCGTGGTCGTAAGCCTCAGCTCTGCACCATGCACATGATTCGTATGTTTATGTCCGTGGGCAACACATGTATCCATGTATCAAAATATCAAGATATCAGTATATCTGTACAGCAATATATCTATATACCAATGTACCAATATGTCAGTATATCAAGATATCAATACATCGATCTCTAAATCTATATACTGAATTCTCTGTGTGCCTATATATTTACACTTATCTATCTATGTATTTGTCTATCTACCTATCTACCGATCTATCTATAACATACATCTATCTAACGCAGCATGCAGCGAGTTGCTGCAAGTAGGATCTCGCCCCAGGGCGAGAGCGAGTTGAACCCACAACAGAAAACACTGCCCTGACAACGACAAGAAAAAGCTTCAAACACCCAGCAAAAAAACAAACATGATCTCTAAAGGGGCCCCTTTTCGTGAGCCAACTGAGTGAGCCTTTGCAGCCACGGAAAACTGGAATTCGCATAGAGCTTTCTCTTGTGTCCTAAGAGGGCATAGCATTCTGCTGAAGAGTTCTCTGATTCCAGACTTCATTCCATTTGCTGCCAGCTGCGCTCGCTCCGCGATCGCGCTGGTAGCTCCGTGATCCGGGGCGGTTGCTGGTTTTTCTCTTCTACCTGAACGAGTCTTGGAACTAGTGTTCTGCGAGAGGTTTTGAGGAAGTGGCTCGGCTTCGATCAAGCCCTACCAACCCACTGGATAGGCCGCTACTACGTGGAGCAATGCCTTTCGTGGGGCAGGTCCCATTCCGACATGGACCGGCCATCCGAAGAGGTGTCGCCGTTATGCCCGAGAAGTTTCTTGGTTCATCTAAGGGACAAAGCATGGACAGCAACGATATCTGGCGACCAAGTTAATCAGCAAGCTGACGGGATCGGCTGGCCTCGCGGCAATAGGCCGAGTTTGACTCTGAGCAAGGGGTGTTGGTGCTTTTGAGGAAATTAGCTCAATCGCCATTAGTCCGGAGGAGCCTCCCCAACGCGGCGGCGATTATTACCCAATACTTCCAGTTCAAGAGAATGCCTGGCGAGCCCATCATAGCCAATTTTCTGGTGCGTGAGACACTAGGATTTGAAGAGTTCCAAGAGGCCTTGCTGCATCTTCGTGAAGAGCTTCATGGTTTAACAGTCAATCAGCAGTTGCCGAGAGCTGCTTCTGCCGCCATGGATTCCGCAGCACGCTCTGCCTGCAAGGCCTCCCTGATCGCCGGGTCGTCGAACTCGGCGTGAGAGAGATCTTCAAGAACTTCGGGAGGAGCTTGTTTTGGCCACTCATCCTCCGCGTAGTAGCCATGCCATTCTTCCCAACCGTCACCGTCATCCTGCCATTGCTGCGCTTGGGACCACATTGCCTGCATTGCCCACTCTTTCGGCGCTCGGTACCACAATCGGGGCACCGTAGCCGCCACCGTGTGTGTAGGGCTGCGCAACTGGAGGGCGGAAGCCCATCCTGAGCCGACGGCTGCCCGCAGAGAACAACGTGCGGCGGATGAAACGGTGCTGGGACCGCAATCGGACGGCCGCAGTCATCCTGCCTGGACCCAAAGGGGGCCAAGGGGCCCTCTGGATCCCCAGGGTCGGACAGAAGACAAGGCGAGTAAACATCGGTCGTAGAGGGTGCAAATCACGAAGCAGAAGAGGCACACGCAGGAAAGCACGGCGTGGCAGGCAAAGCACGAGCAGCAGCAGAAGGAGGCCAACCTGCGCGTTGCCGGTCATCGCGGCAGCGCAAGGCAGCGGCGGCACTGGCGGCCTGGCTCTCTGATCGATTTCAGCAGGCGTGGCGAGCGAAGGCGTGGCATTGGCGTATATTGGCGTGGCATGCAGGCATGGCAGTGCGAGGCGAGGCGGGCTGCAGGGGCACTATCATCGGCCTCCGCGTCATTCCGAGCAACCGGCGTCACTATAGTGAAGAACCGACCGACGGTTGAAGGAACACGAGGAGACCCAATCGGAGTCATGGCGCTATTCGGCACGGGTCCGAACGGGGCAAGTGGCACCCGGACACCGACTGCGTTCCGAAGCTTGCCGATGCAAGCACTGAACTTTTAACGACAGGCTACTCAAGATTTTACGGCCATCCGAAGGGGCCAAAGCCCAAGCCGAGGAGTACAAGTTGCCATAAACAAACATGCTCAGAAGCTTGTCGGATAGACGTCCCGAGTGCAGGGGCGGCAGCAGCAG